CAACTGTAAGCTTAGCATCATATCATTTAGTTATTTGCTACAACTTTCATCATGTCAAGTATCTGTTCCTTAGACCATGAGATCGTGCAACTCCCTGACACCGGAGGAATACTTAGTGTGTATCCAAACGTCACTTCGTAACTGGGTGATCATAAAGGTGCTCTACAGGTATCTCTAAAGGTGTTTGTTGGGTTGGCACGGATCGAGACTGGGATTTGTCGCTCCGTGTGACGGAGAGATATCTCTGGGCCCTCTCGGTAATACAACATCATAAGAAGCTTCATGTGACTAATGAGTTTAGTCACATGATCTTATATTATGGAACGAGTAAAGATACTTGCCGATAACGAGATTGAACTAGGTATGGAGATACCGACGATCGAATCTTAGGCAAGTAACATATCGCCGGACAAAGGGAATTGCATATGGGATTGACTGAATCCTTGACATTGTGGTTCAACCGATACAAATCTTCATGGTATATGTAGGAACCAATATGGGCATCTAGGTCCCACTATTGATTATTGACCGGAGAGGTATCTCGGTCATGTCTACATGGTTGTCGAACACGTAAGGTCACCACGCTTAACATTCGATAATGCTAGAGTAGTATTACGATATGTGCATTTGTAACCGAATGTTGTTCGGAGTCCTGGATGAGATCCTAGACATCATGAGGAGCTACGAAATGGTCCGAAGGTAAAGACTCATATATATGAAGTCATGTTTTGGTTGCCGGAAAGTTTTGGGCATTATCAGTATTGTATCGGGAGTGCCAAAAGGGGTCCGGGGGTCCACCTGCCCCGGGGGCCACATGGGCTGTAGGGGGTGTGCCCTGGCCTACATGGGCCAGGGGCACCAGCCCCAAGGGGCCCATGCGCGTGGAACAAGGAAAAGGGGAAGAGTCCTAAGGGGGGAAGGCACCCCCTAGGTGCCTTGGGGAGGGAGGATTCCTCCCTAGGCCGGCGCCCCCTCCCTTGGAGGAGGGGCCAAGGTTGCGCCTCAACCCTCCCCATTGCCTCCTATAAATAGTGGGGCAAAGGGAGGGGATGGACACACCAAATTCCACGCCCCGGCGGCAACCCTACCTCTCCCAAAACTCTGTTTTCTCCTCGGATTGTTGGTTCCGACAGCGTTTGGCGAAGCCCTGCCGGGATTGCACCACCACCATCTCCACCATGCAGTCGTGCTGGTTGAGATCCCATCTACTTCTCCTCTCTTTCTTGCTGGATCAAGAAGGAGAAGACGTCATTGAGCCGCACGTGTGCTGAACACGGAGGTGTAGTCCGTTCGGCGCTAGATCGGATTGGATTGTGACTGGACCGCGAAGAGTACAACTACATCAACCGCATTATATACGCTTCCGCTTTCGGTCTACAAGGGTATATAGACACATCCCCCTCTCATTGCTATGCATCTCCTAGATTAGATCTTGGGTGTTCCGTAGGATTTTTTTTATTTTCATGCTTCGTTCCCATCAAAGAACGCCGCACATCTCCATCAAAACTTAGGAGAAAGATTCTGAAGGGAAGGAGTTCACTTAGATCTATTCCAATCATCTCCACATCACACCGCCCTTCATTCATCTACATCATCACCTTAGAGAGAGCAATTCCAACTTGTAAACCTAGGGTTTGTAACTCCATTCGTACTTTTGTCAGAGATTGATCGGATCAATCGTTCATCCTATTATGGTACCTTGCAATATTGTGGATATGACCTCCCTTCATCTTTGTGTTTGTTGGATATTCCCCTCTCGTGCGTGAGTAACCCCCGATAGACATGGAAGATGTAGGAAAGTGGTGAGATTTATTTGTGCCCACCCTCCTCATCACACTGCTGCGAGGCCACGCCCCCACACCGCCTATTGGCCGCGATACTAGCTGCCACATCATGCCACCGCCACGCCTCTCCTGACCCACCTCACCTCTCCGCCCGCCGTCAAAGGTTACCTATGTAGGTCCTATTGTCAGAGGTTTATACCCACTGTTCGACCCATTTTGCATATGGGGAAATGAGATGTCCATGAATATCAGTCAAGTCAAGAAACTCGGAAAGATTGTCAGGATAAAGAAACTTGAGACGAATAACAGCAAGATCTTTGTTTGCACAATGAAGAAGACATCAGTCAACTATAAGATGGTACTAACTCTTTTACCTTGTTTTTTCCCTTGTGCCATTTCAAAATTTAGAACAACTATTTATGTTTTCAGTCCTTTCCAAAGCAGTTCACCAATGATTACCTCTCAAACCACCTGCATGGTCGAGAGGCGGGGAAGGTATTCATTCAACACCCACGGTACAGTATTGAAATCTTCCTCAAAAGGACAAAGGTTGGGCGGGCAATTATCCATAGCCACTGGCCTAAAGTTGCAAGGACATTCAACATCACTGAAGGGTCAATATTTGCCTTCCGCTTTTGCAGTTTCCCAAATGAGATTCATCTGTCCATTTACCATGTATGATGCTACTTTCCAAAGGTTTTCAATGTTGCATGTGAAACTTGATGCTGTAGTGTAATGGCGTAGCTAGCTATATGCCTATATGGTGTAACTGGATGTTGAAGCCATTTGATGTAATTCAATTACGAGCTCATTTTGCCCAGCGTGCGTGACCGGAGGACCTATCCCCGACGGTTTCTGGGTCGTGTGGGAAAGACCCCCTATCGCACACACACTCGCAAGGCGGTGGTTTAAAACTCCGTCGCGGAAAGATGGTTAAGACTGTTTGTATATCATGTCGCTGCACCAGTGCACATGCGTGACCACGGATGACTCCATAATTTGACACTTTCTTTGGGTATTTTCAGAGGTTTGTTGGAAGGGTTTTGCCAGTGTTCACCTTTTAACTAAGGATAACCTTTCAAAATCAAAGAAACCTTATTCCCTTACTTGTTGGACATGTCTAATTTTTTTAAGAGGAAATGGGACAAAATACAATCAGTTGGAGCAGCGAGGGAAAACTTCCCTCCTTGAAAGATTTGCAACAGGCGCACCAGAGGAGAAGATGACTTCTGGTACAAGCACAAGCGCTAGTACCAACTATTGTCGCCTACATCTCATCTATACATAGCCACTTTGTATAGGTGGCGGAAGGAGAAGGAGAGAGGAGAACGCCGCACATCTCCATTAGAACTTATGAGAAATTCTGAAGAGAAGGAGTTCACTTAGATCTATTCCAATCATCTCCACATCACACCGCCCTTCATTCATCTACATAATCACCTCCCTTCATTCATCTACATAATCACCTCAGAGGGAGCAACTTCAACTTGTAAGCCTAGGGTTTGTAACTCTATTCGTACTTTATCAGAGATTGATCAGATCAATCATTCATCCTATTATGGTAAATTGCAATATCATGGATATGACTTCCCTTTATTTCATCTCTGTGCTTATTGGATATTCCCCTCTCATGTATGAGTAACCACCGATAGACATGAAAGATGTAGGGGAGTGGTGAGATTTATTTGTGCCTATCACCTCCACACCATAGTACTGTCAGGCCACGCCGCCATACCGTCTATGCGCCGCGATATTGGCCGCCACGTCACGCCGCCGCCGCACCTCCCCCAATCCGCCTCACCTCTCCGGCCGCCGTCGCCATGCCTCTCAACACCGTGTCACTGACTTGCGGGTCCCATCTTCATTTAACAGGACATAGGGGAAAATTACAAGAAGATTTATCTACGGTCATCGCGTAAAAGTCGTTTTACAGGAAGATTTTTAAGGAACTATTAGAGTTGCTAAGCACGGTGTTTTCGACTAAACAGAGCTCCAATTACGCCTAATCTCACCACTCATCTCCCTCCGCACACAGATCTCATCTCACGCCCTCTTTTGCTGTGTGTCCCGCGACGGAACCGAGACGAGCACGCCAATACGCAAAGCACAAGCCCAACAACTAAAGCTCGGAATCCAAACCCCCCTCCCCCATGGCCTGATCCCATCGACCGATCGAACTAGCACACCACACGCCCTCGCGGCCCCGCCGCGGCCACCGCCTCCTGCTACCACCCGTTGGGCCTCCTCAGCTCCCTGCGGCCGCACCGCCGCGGGAGCAGCGGCGGCGCGCAGTGGCAGTGGTTGTTCCTCGACGCCGTCTGGGCGGTGTTCCTCGTGGCCGTGGTCGTCTTCCTCGCGCTCGTCTTCACGCCGCGCCGCGGGGACACCCTCGCCGCCCTCGCTGGCGCGGCGGTGCCGCCCTGCTCCGCCTCGGAGGTGGACCTCCTCCCCTGCGAGGACCCCCGCCGAAGCTCCCGCCTCAGCCGCGAGATGAACTACTACCGCGAGCGCCACTGCCCCGCGCGGGGGGAGGCACCCGCGTGCCTCGTCCCGCCGCCGCCCGGCTACCGCGTGCATGTGCCCTGGCCCGAGAGCCTCCATAAGGTTCGTGCTGCTGCCACTGGCCGTTCCACTCAAAATTAACCCCTAATCAACTGCTGTAGTTGCAGGTGTCAGCTAGTGTCTTGGCAGAGTAATGCTTCTGTAGGACTTTTGCTTTGTTTTGTTGTGTAGCTTACTAGTGTACGACCAGGTTTTGCATCTCATGCTCTGAGTGGTTAATATTCGAAATGACGCAGTTATTAGAGTAAAAGTTACTGGATGATGTCTAGAGGTCTTGAATGCCAGACTGGTTCTGAATTTGGGAAATACTAGTGATTAGGATGATCTTTCACGGATATGATTTTCGGATTAGGAGGTGAAATGTGCGCTCGCATTTTAGCTAACAGTTCTGGTGGATAGGATAAGACTAAGCAAGCTACTAGGCACAAGTTTTGATGGCATCTGAGCTAGCATGACCAAGGACTTAAAAAATTCAAGTCTTGCTCTTGCACCTTTCAGCTATGTGTTTGTTAAGTTGACCTTACCTGAGGAATGTACATTGGGACTGGAAATAACAAAAGAGAGATAGTATATTGGTTTACTTCGTGTGTTGACAGGATGTAGATTAGTCCTATTCCTCTTACACCGAGATTTACGTCTTGTTTATTGTTCTCTATGCAGATATGGCATGATAACATGCCTTATGGCAAGATTGCTGAAAGAAAAGGTCATCAAGGGTGGATGAAGCAGGAAGGCTCATACTTCCTTTTTCCTGGTGGCGGAACTATGTTTCCTGATGGTGCCGAACAATATATTGAAAAGCTTACCAAGTATGTTCCACTAAAAAGTGGTCTCCTGAGGACAGGTCTTGATATGGGTTGTGGGGTAATGATTTCATCTTTAATATGGAGCTTCTGTGTTTTGTTTTCCAAGTAAAATGGCTACAATTTTTTTTCCATCCTTTGTAGGTTGCTAGCTTTGGTGGGTTTCTGCTCAAAGAGAATATCACAGCACTTTCCTTCGCTCCAAGAGATTCGCATAAATCGCAAATACAATTTGCGCTGGAGAGAGGAATTCCTGCATTTCTTTTAATGTTGGGCACACGCCGTCTTCCATTTCCAGCACAGTCCTTTGATTTCGTCCATTGCTCCCGATGTTTAATACCTTTTACTGCCTACAGTAAGTAATGTTTTCTTCTGCATTCAACATGCACATCTGCCCTCCCTCTCTCTGACATGTACAAACTGGCAGATGGCAGTTATTTGATTGAAGTTGATCGTCTACTTAGACCGGGAGGATATCTGATTATATCCGGACCCCCTGTGCAGTGGAAGAAGCAGGAGAAGGAATGGGGTGAACTTCAAGCAATGGCAGAGTCTTTGTGTTACAAGTTGATCACTGTAGACGGTAACACTGCCATTTGGAAGAAACCTAATCAGGCATCATGTCTTCCTAACCAAAATGAATTTGGCCTTGATTTGTGTAGTACTGATGATGATCCAGACGAAGCATGGTAATAATTTTCTGTTTTTTTGTGTGTCCTTGCAAATTGTGTTTCTAGCTTTTCAGTTTGCCAGAAAAGCATTTTGTATATTTCTGTTTGATTGATTATTATAGGGTTTTACTGTGTGCAGGTACTTTAAGTTGAAGAAATGCATTAGTAAAGTTTCTCTGTCGAAAGAAATAGCTGTCGGTTCCATTGATAAGTGGCCAAATAGGCTGTCTAAACCTTCTGCTAGGGCCTCCTTCATGGATAATGGTGTAAACTTATTTGAAGCAGATACACAGAAGTGGGTTAAAAGAGTATCATATTACAAGAGATCACTTGGTGTCAAGCTAGGTACTGCACTCATACGTAATGTCATGGACATGAATGCGTTCTTTGGAGGATTGGCAGCTGCTGTAGCGTCTGATCCTGTGTGGGTAATGAATGTTGTTCCTGCTAAAAAACCGTTGACACTTGGAGTAATATATGACAGGGGCCTGATTGGAGTTTATCATGACTGGTAAGTAATTTGTTTGACTCCATACAATTACAGACAATTTCAGTGCCTTGCTTGCCCATGTGCTTCTTTTTCCTTTGGTTAATTATTGACTACATCGCTAGTTTCTAAATTACAAACTGGATACCACTCCAACATAAGATTCCATGTCCATCTTAGTTTCCAGCTGCCTGCTTGTGGTGATTTTGCAAATACTAGAAATTTCAAATTTCAAGTTTCTAGGTTGTTCATCCACCTTTTCCAAGCTATCTACATATTTTTCAGCAAGTTTGCATATGATGCTGGGAAACTCCTCGGGCCTGCACCTGCTTTAGCATTCATTGTGAACTGATTATCTTGGTATTGTTTGTATAGAATTTTACATTTGAAACTAAATCTCTTCTAGTAGATCTCAAAACATTATCTGGCTACTGAAAAATAACATTACATGGTTCTTATGTTCGTGCCTTGTGCAAGATTTAACTAGCAAGTTTTATATGATCAACATTTCACATATCAAGTGAATGAATCGAGCCATTTACATGAATAGATTAATAATCGGTGTTCTTGCATGTTGTAGTTCTGAAATTGATTGTATGACTTTGGTTCCAGGTGTGAGCCTTTCTCAACATATCCTCGTACCTATGATCTCATTCATGCTGATGGAATCAATTCTTTGATAAGCGACCCGAAGTCCGGAAAGACCAGGTAGACTGACTATAATAAACTTGCGATAGTGTAGTATTGTTAACCTGTTCTATTTTTCTGCAATTTTAGAGTAATCTAATTTATTCCTGAAATACAATGTATAATTTCAGTGCAAACCAAGCAGCACCCAGAAATTTTCAGTTCATATACGGCCACTTTGAAACAGGAATGTAAAAAAATGCAAGAATAAGAAAAATGCATGATCTAGAATTGCCCAAAACTGGGGTTACTTGGTATGTGTTACCCCAACGATAGCTGTCATGGTAGAGTACAAGAGAATACTTTATGCAAGTTCTAAAATCAAGCTTTACGTTTATTTGATGGGATAAGCACCTACTAAATGGACGGTCGGAACTATGCGCTACTCCCTCCGTTCACAAATATAGCATGCTTTGGATATTTCAATATGGACTACATGCGGACTGAAATGAGTGACAAACACACTAAAACGTGTATATACATCCGATTCAGAAAAAAGTCAACATCTTATATTTGTGAACGAAGGGAGTACCTAATAACTGATTGCGTTTCTACTTGTTGCAGATGTGACCTGTTTGATGTCATTTTGGAGATGGACCGCATACTGCGCCCAGAAGGAACTGCTGTAATACGGGACTCCCCAGATGTGATCAACAAGGCTGTACAGGTAGCCCAGTCGATTCGGTGGACTACTCAGGTACACGACAGTGAGCCTGAATCAGGCAGTGCTGAGAAAATACTTATAGCAACGAAAACATTTTGGAAGCTACCATTGACATCAGGATAGTTTAGTTGTATCCATGTTTATAACCTTTTCTTCTTTCCCCCCTTTAGATTCCCCTGATTTTGATTCTTTTGGGGATGGGTTGGAGGGATTAGCACTGATATCACGTTGATGCGGAAATAGCTTTATTTTCTACTACTACATTGTTGGTTCTTTAGAAAGAGTTAGTTACTGAGGTGTGATGTGATTCTTTCGACGTGTTCTGTAGCCCTTCCCTCTTCCATTTGGAATTAAATTTTGGATTGATATTTGTTATAGGATGTTTCTCCCTTGTGAAAAGTGTATGGTTTGTTCAACTTGTGCTTACTGCATCCATGTTCGATCTTGCAATATAAACCACTCTATTAGCGTTGAAAGATGACTCAAGTCCTGACACTGTTTCATGCCAACGATGCCATTTCATGACTCTGCTAGTAGAGCAGGCTAGTGCATACTTATCGCACCAATTCATACAGCGACGGAAAAAGGACGTTCGTTCTTCGCCTGTTTTAGTCTCTAACATTGCAAATGTGACCGACTATGTAGAACCAAAGAATAAACAAACGCTTTAACCACAAACAAACCAGAGTGATTTACAGAGCTTTAATAACATATTCAAGCAGAATTGCTAATCAACGCCTCTTGGACAACAAAGAAAAGCAAGAGGTGCAGCCTTGAAGTTTCTATACAGCGCAAAAGTATAAAAAAAGCCAAACTGAAGCAATTATCTGGATGGGCAGCACGTTTGTCTCCACAGCTGTTGTCCTCTTATTTTTATTAGTTGTCACACTTCCAGTGCGACGTCGGGACGCAGGTAAGGTAGTGGCACCAGCTGCAATGGTCGTTGCCGTTCACCCCGCGGAACACCATCAGCAATCCAACGGCGAACCTGTGTACAGTACATACAAACATGGCTTCAGATTAATTACCACACAGGAAGCGTGTAGAATTTGGATGAAGAGTTTGTACTGTATCTTGTAACGGCGCTTACCCTGCAATCGCTAGGAGGAGGGCGACGATCAGGAGGACGATCTGGCAAGCCGTGTACTTGGACCTTGTCTTGCCGCCGAAGGGCTGCTCCAGCCATCCGAACCGGGGCTGGATCAGCAGCACGAAGCCGAGGAGGAAGCCGGTGAGGAACCCGCCGATGTGCGCGAAGTTGTCGACGTGGGGCAGTATCCCCAGCGCGAGGTTGATGGCGGCGATGATGATCAGGTTCGCCATGGCCGCGAGCTGTAGATGGACGGTGGTTTCATTCCATGTCAGTAGGAGTTCGTCATGAACCAAAACAAGCAGTAGTAGCAGAGACGAGGAGGGACGCGTACCCTGTTGGTGTAGATGGTCCAGTTGGTGATGAGCTCCGACAGCATGGCCCCGAGGAGGCCGAAGAGTGCGCCGGAGGCGCCGACGGAGACGCCGTTCCTGATGAAGAGCACCGAGAGCACGCTGCCGCCCAACCCCGAGAAGAGGTAGACCAGGCCGACCTTCCCTGCACGACGCGACGAGAGCGGCGAAACCCGGTCAAAACAAGACAAAACAAAACAAAACAGCGTGCGCACGCTGTAAGCAAGACCTCGTCGTCGTTCTAGACAGAGTCGTCGGTCGGGTTGGGCGCTTACAGAATCCGAACTGCTGCTCCAGGCGGACGCCGACGAAGATGAGGCTGATCATGTTGGCGCCGAGGTGGATGAGGCCGGCGTGCAGCCAGGTGGCCGTCTCCAGCCGCCACGCCTGGTCCCCGTGCACCACCTTGTACCGGTCGAGCCCGCCGTACTTCCCCAGCCTGCAGCGCCGTGCCCATGATCCAATCCGCCGATGAATACAAGCAAGAGGATCGAAAGATTTGAGATGGCGGGGATGAGAGAAGATATCTGTGCGCTTACGTGGCGGAGGAGGGCCCGAAGAGGGGGTTCTCCTTGAGCGGCTGGAAGGAGAAGCGGCGGAGGAAACCGCCGCCGAGGCAGTCGGCGCCCCTGCCGTTGCGCGGGCAGTCGTTGTAGTACATGACCACGATGAACATGGCCACGTTGGCGAGCACCACCACCGGCACCAGCCACGTGTGGTGCTGCCGCTCGCGCTCCGCCTCCTGGCCGTAGTAGAAGGGCGCCGCCGGCGCGTGCTGCCCGTCGCCGCCCGCGTAGTACCTCCCAGGCGGCGGCTTGATCCCCGTCGTCGCCGCCCTGGCCGGGCCGGCGGCCTCCACGTCGGGGTTCGACATGGCCTCGATCGATGAATCCACGCCTGCACCGCTCCTTGGCTGTTGGCCTGTTCGGTGCAAACACAATCGTCTGCTGGTTGAGGAGACGAAGACTGGAGACCTGGTGTTTGTTTGGAGCCTTCGTTGTGGTGGCTTTAACCCGAGGGTTTTTAATCCAGACGTGTTTCTTGTTTTATCTAGTTTGTTTAAATAAATATTGGCCGCCTATTATTGCAATCTGGTTGTTGGAGGAGGGGATTAGGAGTTGGCGGGAAGTTTTATATGGAAGATTCATTGGAGGGTCTGTGGGTTCAAGGAGTTGGGATGATGGCGCAATTAGAAGTTGACCCGTTGGCTCACTTGATGCTACGCTCTAGCTGTATTTGGGCTCTATCCAGCTAAATTATTAGCTTATAATCAACTTAATAAAAAGGTGAAATACTTTTACACGCGGGGATCAACGGATCCTTTCTTTAGGATCAACCAACCAACTGGAAGCCTGCTGGCGACACTGATGCTTTCTACTAACAATTATTGTCCAGATGCATGGTAGGATAATATTTTTGTAGGAGTTTTTCTAATATAAAATGGACTTTCGTGTGTATTTGGCATAGGATGTTTCATGTTTTTTTTTTGTAGTAGTACTAGTTTGATATACATTTTTTTTGCGCTTGTTGGTCTCAGCCTATTTTGGAAATCGTCCCGAAAAGTTTCTGGTCATGCTTAATTTTAGTCTTTCTTGCTAGGATTGCGCTGCTGTTTACGTCGTTAAGGTTGAAAGGTACAAGTATTTGCGATGGCGAGTGCGATATGAGCGCCGCGTATGTTAGTTCAACACTGCTATTACAAGGAAGGAAGCATTCCACGCGTTTCTGCCATTTTCCGGCTCGCTCCATGTGAACCGTTGTCGTCTGCTTCAGTTGCGTGGTTAAGGTTCAATAAATTGTCAGTTTTTCTTTTTTCTTTTTGGAGAGATCGAATCCGATGTTGATGCACGCCCAAAACTGGGTCCCTTTTTTTACTTTTCGTATTTGTTTTGATTTGCGGAGAGGCCCTTTTTGTTCCTTCAGCAATGAGCAAAACGCTCTGTCCAAACAATTCATTTCCCTTGTTCACAAAAATCGATTTTCTTTCTGCCCTGGCACCGCTGCCAGATATTGATTGTTTGGTTCCAGTAGACTCGATAGAAATTGTTGCATAATGGGACCCCACTCGCCGCCTTCTGAACTAAGCAATACTGTAAGACAACTGCAAGAGCGTCTTCCCACACTCTAGCCCGTTTTACAATTTAGAAAAAAGACTATTAATCAATGAATCATTGTGTGATTCTGACTTGAATCATAGAAAAAAAAGAATCATAAACTATGAAATCGCCTAAGTCCCGAGCACTCCAAAATCCCTTAAAATGGTCTTTGCACTGGTATTAAAAATGGTTATTTCTTTTGTGTCTTCCATAAAATATGAAGAAAAAACATACAAGCATGACTATCGTTTGCTGCACAAAAATGGCAATCTATTCATTTATTTGTTTTTTTATGAAACATAGATGATCTTGAGATTTTTTTTCCCGCTCCCTATCCTCGACATGATTACTTATTGTGGTTTGAATCATGTAATTTTGAAAAATGGCTACTGATAGGGAACTTGCAAAGGAAGTAAAAAAATATGAATTTATCTATTGTACAAAGAAGACAAGATTCATCACAGTGACAACGACGATCCGGAAAAAATGGATCCGCCCATGCGTCGTCCCCAGCAAGGCGACTTCGTGCGGCCGTCATCCCCTTCGGGCCGACGGCCCTCCCTGCTCCGCTCCTCCTCCTCCTCCTCGCCGCCACCGGTAGCCGTTGTCAGGTAAAGCCCGCGTGTGGTGGCGGCGCCGGGGCAACTCGGCTGGTCTCCTCTCCGTGGTTGTTGCTAGCACACCAACGACGATGGATGGCAAAGATAGGGCTCCGGGGCTGCGGCCCCTCTTCAAGGCGATGGCGCGTGCGACGGCCTCTTGGGAGGCGTCATGGCTGGACTTGCATGCTACACGCGGTGTCGTCATACTGGCAACGGTGAGGCTGGGAGTCACCGTATCCGGCCAGGAGTGGTTGGTCCCTATCTCCTGCCATAGTTGGCATCTCACCAAGTTCGGACCTCCGTGGTTGCGGGTGGCCCGACGTGGCGTCGCTGACCTTTGTCTACAGGTCTGGATGGAGAGGAGAGCGGGCGTGGGAGCTGCTGGCTTCGACCAATAATGGTGGTTTGGCCCTAGCACTCTTCTTTTGCCAAGTCGTCTTTCTGCCAGATAGAGACCTCTTGGATCTGGCCGCTAATGAGTTCTGGTCTTCCCCGTCGAAGATCTATACGGATTGGAGTATGTCGCCCTTGAATACCTATATTAGAAAGGCCTCGGACATGCGCACTCATATTATCAGCCAACATGGCCTCAAGAGGGCGTGACGTGAAGCTTCGGTTTCTTATCGGCGTCATGGGACATGTCTCGGTCAAGATTCCCAAGGCATTGATAGAGGTGGAGAAATTCATGGCTATTGTGGCTGGAGGTCTTGAAACTTTGGTGGAAGGGTGTATTGGATGCGATGAAGATTGTGTGCAGGTGTTTGGTGACTTGCAACAGCGACCTCGGCAAGCGAGGGCGGCAGCGCTGGAGGACTGCATTTTTGTGGTGCTCGTCTCCCAGGTGAAAACCCAAGGTATGGCCTTTATTGGTTGTACCTGACAATGGCCTTGTTGAAGGCATTGGTTTTTGGTGAACTCGGACTTCCTCCACTGTGAAAACCCAAAATCTTCGATCGGGCAACGACAACGCTTGTGCATTCTT